TCTGTAAGCGATAGTTTGCTCTTTTGAACTTTTTAATACCAAAGTGCCTTATTCCAGAACACACTCTTTTCACTGGCCAAGATATCGTTTTGAATATACATTGTATCGTTGAAAACCAACTCCTGGCCAGGTGAAGATGCGTTTCCTCCATGTAATGGCCAGTATAGTTTATCTTCCGGCCACATCTCATTTGGGTCCCCAGTCAGGATAAACGATACCAAATATTTTTGCATCTTAAGCGCAACACTGAAATCAATGTCTGTAGTAGTGACAATACCGGCACCCGCTGCAGTCGTAGTTGTAGTGGTAGTGGTATTTGTTTCAACAAGAGTGAAGTTACTGTACCAATAATAATTTTGATCCATGCCGTGAGTAGCTACACCAAGCGCCACCATGGCGTTCCAGGTTTGGTTGTTAAGTGCTTCAGTTAAAGCGTAGTTGTGGGCTACAAGCTCGAAGTCTTGGTCTATGTCTGCAAAACGAAGTCCTTCACTTGTATAGTCGGCTGAGGGGTAAAGATCCTGGATTTCATTGGCAATATCATCTGTAATAGAAGGAAAGTATAGTCGGAGATGAGGGGCGATATCAGAGCTGGTATTGACACCCGCAGGTAATTTGTTGTTGATTTCGTGGAGCTCGTGGGTTATTACTAGAGGACCAGTGAAATTGAAGCGCTTTTGATAGAGCTGAGATTCGTCTGTTGACTTTAGTCAGTAATGAATGAAACAGTATCTATAATTGAGAACGCACATGTATCGGAAATGAAGTCCCCATCTACACGAGGTTGGAATTGATATGTGTAGTTAGCTACCATGTTGGTAGCGGCTGTTTGAAGGGTTGTGAAGTTGACAGAGCGCAAGCATTTCAAGCTACCACCCGAGCACCCAACGGAGCTGGATACGTTTTGGTAAAAGGCCTAGATATTTTATCAACAATCAACTCAAGGATAGTATGGAGATATAGGAAATCTCACCTCAGCATTCTGATGGCCAGCTCCGGGTACATAGCCTGGGGACATAAGGTACGCACGAGCAAAAGTCTGTTCAGCACGACCAGCAAATTTCTTTACATGAAGGGTCAGTCATCTAGTCATGTTTTGGATCGGAAAAGATGATCAGTTTTTCATACCGTAATCTGAAAAAGATCCTGTGAAGCACCGGCTGAGAATCCAACGGCCACTATTTCATCTGGATTACCACCCCAGTGGCTAATATACTTTTTGACCCAATCGAAAGCATGCGCAGAATCCCAAACTAAAGCATTCGAAGTTCCGCCTTCGTGATTAAGGGTCGGACCATTAGCTAGACCTGTCATTCCAAGCCTGTAGTTATAGGCAACGAAGATGAAATCCTTGCTCAAGGCGAAGAGTGCTTCAGGAGTGACCGCTGCCTTACTTCCAAAGATGAATCTACCTCCATGTGACCATACAACGACGGGCAGGCTCTTGTTGGCACTATTAGCAGGTGCCCATACATCAAGGTACAGACAGTCTTCGTAAGTTGCGCAGTCAACATTCTCTGGAGCCAAAGTACCGTCGTTCACAACGGTCTCAACTGGGGGCCACTGTGGTTTTGCAAAACGAAGATCTCCAGTAGGAACAGCAGCATAACGAATGTTTTGGTACTTGTAATATCCAATCGATTCACTACCAGCGGTGGCAACAATGGTCGAATAATCCAATGTAACGGATGGCATGGAAGTGACCGTGGTATTGGCTGCATTTACGATAGCAGCTGCTGAAGCAGCTGTCGGTAAAATATATATCGAACACCAGCGCATGATGAAAAGAAACTCTTTGTCGTTGAAAATGAAGCTTGAGATGAGACGAACGCTACGCAACAAAGAGAGAAGTTTGGGATATTGATAAATGTATTCAGATACATCCCATCATTGGACGGACAATGCGACGTCCGGCAGCTGCCCAGAAGTGGACGATACCTCACAGGTGGACGCGTCCCCTTAGCTCGGACTGCCGAGAAATGTCACTAGACATTTTTTGCGGGGTGAAGTGGACTGGTTCCTTGAATTAATACTGATGATTCATGAAAATCTGCCCCAAACATAGGTATCTCCATGGTGTAGTTCTTGCACGGGTCTCTGTGAGGTTTGTGTAAGATCTGGAATGAGGACTAGGACGCTGTCAGCGGTGTATAAAGCACGGCTGAGTGGAAAATTAGGTTCACAAGCCCGAGATTTATCCTCGGGCTAACTTCAAAGCCTAGGTTTCTCGCAAGTTCTGGGGCTTTATGATCCTATCTAGCCGCCAATTACACCCACAAATGATGCTTCATTGGGGGTACGTAAGTACTTGAAGTGCGCTGAAAAATACTGATTGATGTGCATTCGCGTCCACCCGTCCACAATGGCTCGGTATTACCAATAAAAGCTTAACTATAGAGCATCGTATAGAGGCAAGCATGGTGTGAACTTGCGATCGAGACTTTAAAGCCGACTGACCCAGTATAGCCAGGTGAGAGGGCAGGGCAGCACTTTTCATAAGAAAGTCAACAGAATTGTTTTGCAAACGAGTGCGCGAACAATGTCTATCGGAACAAAGTCATAAGCCCGAGACGAGTCTAATTAATCTATGTCGCCAGCGAAAAGAGTCTTGAGAGACTATACTTACATCAAATTCGCTCGAAAAGAGGTTCAAAGATGGGACAGAACAGAGTGCACCAGCCTCTCGTGGCGCGTCGCGCGTCAGAAAGCCGAAGTAAAGCCGTTTATTGAATCTCGCGCACTTCGACTGTCAGCTCTGTGCTGAGATATCTTCATTTAATTCATCAATTTTATCCTCTTGATAATTTATAACGCACATTTAATGATATAAATAGAAAGGAGTTAACCAGCAATATCTGTCTTGAACGACGCGGAATCGTACAGTACAGAACAACTTTTTCAGTGTCTCTCAGTACCATATTGACTATCTACCTAAGGAGATATCAATGAACAAGCACTCATGTTGAAGAGCCTCAGACTCGCTTGATATCAGGTCATATTCAGCTCTTTAGTGTATGGAGCATCATATACCACTCTTGATTTCTCCTTTTGGAAGTATTACTATTTCCAGGCAAGCCTTGTATTTGCTCCGTTGCCTCCTTTGGGACATTTCCACATCCAGCGAATGTTCTCTGCTCTCTATTATTTTGAGTCAAGATGAATGCAATCCGTGGCATCGATATCGATAGATACACACACAATTACCCATGTATTGTCATCCCTTGCTCTTTATCATGGGCTTGCATAACATATACTCTCGTTCGTGATCTCGCAAGGGACTGTACAGCTTGGCAAGATATCAATCGCTTCATTTTCGGTACATCTGACGTGATTGTTATTATTGAGTTCACAATGAAAGCAGAGCCTGTGAAATCTCTACTTTGTGGCTTAAGGAAATCGCCACTCTCATCACGATATTAACCTTCAGGATCAAGGCAGGTGCATAATCTTCACTGATGGCTGCAGGGTGTGAAGGGTTTGATAAAAGCTGAAGACACACATTCTATGTCGAATTCCAAATACTTCAAAACCAGTAGATAATTGACACTAAGGGTCCTTACAGATCTATAACAGAACCCGTTTAGTCTTGAGCCAGAAGATTTCATCAGCCTGGCAGGGGATTCGGACAAGGCCCAACAATCTCTTACGATATTTCGAACCCAGCTTCGATGATATCAGCGTAATCTTTACCCGGCGGTCAAACTTACAGATGAACCTTGATGCATGCATGTATCTTGAAGAATCTTATAAGACATTAGTTCCCTCCGTGTATTCCCGTGTCTCTGTAGTACTTTCGGAAAAGAACAGCATGCCAAGGATAATCATGTTGTTGACGCGCAGATATTCGTTTTTCCGTCTTCAAAGGCTCCGTCGGATAAATAGTCTTTTATCTTCATCGGCAACGCCGACGATGAATCAAACTTCTGACAATCGTACCGTTTTTGCCACTCCCGAAACACTTCAAAATCTCCCCTATCTACAGAAGGATTCGTGCCGTGTTCTGCTTATCCACTGGCTACACCAGATTTTTAACTTTCAAATTATCCGCGGGCTTGTGCCGTTGTCTCAAGCATTATCATGATCATCGAAAAAAGTATCGACGTATTGACTGGTGGAGCTTTTATCAGGCTTGCTTGTAAAAAGATAAAGATCTTTCCGGAGCGGTATACATGTTACAGTTTTCGTTCTTTTCACCCGTCGTCGCGGCATTCTTGGCAGTGATATCTTCGGTGGCAATATATCCCCGGTTAAGAACATATCAGTCCTTGCCCAAGGGTGAGTCTAGTAAAACTTAATCCGCAATTGTGCTATATATTTTCAGTGTTATAATTTATCCTGGTCTTGAATTGTGAGATTACTCTCTCAGTTGTCATGCTATAAGCGAAGTTCCCCTTTAATGGAGCGCGATCAAAATCTATGGTAGTGAATGCTCTGTCGTCGCAAGAAAAGCGGAGGCTCTAGGGACTTTACAGGGGTCTGAAGTTCCTCAGGTACTTCTCAAAATATTAGAAGGCGTTCACACTCCTTCAGTAATCTGGAACTCGACTTTGATTGCTCCCTCCAAGTGAGTTTCTTTCCGAGACTGGATTGCTTCGAGGATTCAATGTCATTTAGAAATGTTCGGCTAACTTTTTTTTGTCTTCTGGGGGATCGATGGACAATCTTGAATCACACATTCTATTGTTTTGTGCTACAGTTTAAATTTTGCATCGTTATTCAAGAGACACATGTTTGCGAATTGAGATAGAAATGATTAGAAATGATCATGTTGCTATATGGTATGAGTCAAATAGAATCAACTCTCTGGTGTCATGATTAATCTAGAATGGAGCAATTATGTACGCGTAGAACATTATAAGTAGCTTGCTCTTAGGCTCTATTTTCTATCCAAGTTAGTTCGATCAATTGGCATATTGATATTTCCGTCCAAGTGAAAGATAAGTTCACATCATGTACGCACTCTCTTTGAATATGATACCTGTAAGACGGTTCACGCACTATCATCTTATTTCCATTATTTTTGGTTCTGTGTTGACATCTTCCGTCTTTGGAAACGAGCTGAATGCATCTTCATGTAATTGTCTCTGTACCACTATCATAGTGGCTAACCATAATAGCTCTATCTTTAAGACTAGTACAATCTCTATGGGGGTTAATCTTCCGACGACATCAACGCTTCCGATCATCATCACGACAGCTGAGACCTCTGGGCCCCCTCCGACGACATGTTCCGAGACCACTAGTAGTCTTTTTTCAACAGGGCTCAGTAAATCTGGCGATTCCTCACAAACAACTGTTAGTCTCCTAGCTTCGTCTAGTAGAGTGGGTCTTTCGACCATCCCCACATCGATATCAACATCTGAATCACCTAGTTCTTCAACAGATATCAAATCGACAACCTTTGTTTCCTCGACGTCATCTTCAATGTCATGGTCGCCAAAACCCTCAGAAACCTCTATCTCTTCAGTCTCACAATTGAATAACTCAATTTCTGTCGTCATATCTCCTACCTCAACACCTAAGCAAACATGCAATTCCGAAAGCAATAAATTTATGGCCCGCGATGACATGATGAATCAAATCAATACATTCTGTCAAGAGGCTGCTAAATAAGGCACACAAGATAAAGATAGCGGCTCAATACTCCGTACTTACAACCGAGGTAGCCGCTATGAAGTTGATTTGGCAATTGACTGGCCAGCTGGGATGAATATCACGCATGATATGAAGAACTATTGCTCCAATAACATGACAACAATCATGGATAGTAATTATTCTTTATCATGTTTGCAGGTGTATGAAACTTGCTAATAGTTGACAGCATGTGACTCCGATGCTGCCAGGAACCCATCAAATTGGAAGGCCGGCGGTACACTTCAAATGGACCCAGTTACGTACCGCATCACTCCTCAAAGTAACCAGAATTACACCGCAGGAAAATGTTGGTTTCACCTCGAAGAATTCAAAAGCTTTTCTGGACCAAGCAATGAACAGGTCATCTTTAAAGTGCACATAAGAAACATAACAGATGGTATTGGAAATAATATTTCGGTCATGGGGAATGGAGAAGACGGCTTAAAAGATATTACAAAGGTCGCCGGGGATGGAAATCCTTACGTTTTCAACACCACTTTACCTTTTCCTCTTCTCATTACCCCAGAGCTTAATGGCAATCCATCTGATTACATTCGATTTGTGTATGGAAGCCAGTCTTGGACTACAAGCGTGAACTCTGGGATGCCAAATTGTAGTGTTGGTGGTTGGACTAATCCTGGTACCTCTTTGGATGCAATTTCGGTGAGAGCAGTATCTCTTTATGGTTTCGGATATGGGCTAATATATCAATTTGTCTAGAATCGCAACATGGATTGTTACTTCTATTGTTAGCAGGAAAGCATATGGATAGCTATCTTTGAGTGTTTTAATCTTTGAATTTATTTTTGGTTTTCGAAAGATTCATGAGTAAATGATTTGAAAATCGTGAGAAGCAATGGCAAAAAGACAGGGTGGTAGATTACATGCTGCAAAGATTTCTTCGTATGATAAAAAGAATATTCTACATCCTACCATTTGATTCTAGCTGTAGTTTCCCAACGATTGATCAATAATCTTGCTTAAAACTTGAGTTCGATTGCAGGCCACACATCTTTCGGAGATACCGGGACGACCTCATGAAATTGATACTCCAAACTTACCACTAATCTTTTAGTCTAAGCTCTTTAATCCTCAGTTCATTATTGTTCACGGTTCCGAAAATCTGGAGCAAAAACACAAATTTGGTAATCTGGATCGATTCAATAATGAAAGCTATTGCAACATGTATCACGATGACAATCTTTGAGATAGACTGGATAGTCCAGGGATACAGATTGTTATACTACAGTCAGGACTATTGCAAATTACACACCCCAAATTATACACTGTATGAAGTTTTCCAGCTCCAAGCACACAAAAATCACAAACTACGTACTACACCTCCGCAAGCGAGACCTAGCTCCTTGCTCATTTGCCCCTAAGTACCCCGCCAAAGCCGCTCTACACATCTCCATCTAACCCGTATCTCCATACCACACCATGGAGCTTATTTCTTGCAAGAGCTGAACTTTTGTGGCGCATCCAACCACCCAGTCATTCTGTTCGCAATATCAGTAACATAACTTGGTGTGGCTCCCTCGGCATCGTTCAGATTGCTCTTGTTGACCTCGCCAGAATTGTAACATCTAGCTGCCTCGTAGATGTTTCCATATTGATTGATACATTGAACGAGCCCGTCGCCTTTAGCTGTGCCTTGAGTACCATCAACGATCATTTGGCGGATCGATGCCGCTTGGGCGGAAGCAGATGCGGAGTTACCAACAAATTTTACACCGGCGACAGATTGCATGAGTCCACTGGGATACTGTTAGTGATTTGAGTTTGAAAGATAGCTAACTAAGATAGGAAAGTAAACTAAAACATACGGGTTGTCAGGTTGACTTGGATCTGGGTTCTGGCTAGTATCGATGTTGACACATCCGCTACTTTCTTGTAAGATTGTAGCGTAGATGAATCTTGGATCCACAAAGCTGGCACTAGCGACCGACAAGATTGAGTTATACATGTCATCAATCTGTGCCGGGCTATCACCAGAGCCGAAGGCACCAGTATTGGCACATGATTCTTTGAGATACGTAGTGGAACTATTCCACATGGCATCAAATGACACCCATTGAGAAGATGATGGGAAGGATTGCCAACCACCGGCGTAGCACTTGTAGGTATCTGCACCTTTGCCAACACCAGTGCTAACGCTAGAGTTGGGGTCTTTGTTCCCGGCGCCAGAGGTGAATGCTGCTGGTAGAGTGACTTTTGCGTTGGCTGGTGAGGTAGAACTACCGCGAGCATCCAAGGGAGCTGCAAGTGTGGTCGCGGCGAGAAGCGATGTCGAAATAATCAATCGATTCAAATACATGATGAAATAAATAAGGTGGAAAGAATGACTGGTAGGAAACTAAAAATAAGATTTGTTGAATGAATGTGAAAAAGATGCAGGGAAAGCTGATGGATGCAAAAATACGTCTTAATTTGACCAATATATATACCAAAGACTTCAAATTAAACTTTAGAGTTATATCACAAGAATGCTATCAAATCACCTTGCATGATCCGAAATTAGTAGACATGAGATTCATTTAGCTGCTGGAGATCAGTTACGGTTCCTTCTTGCTGACATTCGTTACATGCTATAGAATCGATTAGCTAATAACGACAAGAAGGAAGCGATGTCTCTCGGCTCAACGAGTGCGTTTAACAATGTTATACTACCTAGGTGATGGAACATTGTGCAATACGAGACGCTATTCTATGTTGGGCGGCTGCTCGTTAGTGTTTTCAATAGTCTGAACTGTAATACAGTTTGGGATTCTAACTTTAATGGTCTGGGAATATTCCTATGGAGCACTTTCTTGAATTGATATACATCCCTGGTATCAAGTCTAAGAAAGGGTCCATGAGGATTTCGTGAAAAGCTATGATACCCCAGTAAAATATCGGCAAGGATGTTGTGGGGGCCAGGAAGAATGCACCATTCAATAACACACCCTGGACTTTCGACAGGTGCATTGAGAGCAATGAGACAGCATTTGAAAATCGAGATTATAAAAGTTACGATGATGGATATAACACAGTGTTTCATCTTTCTTTGATAGCCTGAGTATTCAACAGATACTGATCGAATTGCCTTAGTTCATATCCAATCCGCGTTCTTTATAACTAAATCTGAAGATATGGTTGAGCAAGTAGCTGATATCGTCACAGACAAAAATTTCTTCTTGGCATGACTTCATGCCGTCTGATTTCAGTAACTATTTTGCCTCAATTCTCATGGCAGAATGTAACCTCAAGCTCTGCCGATGCTGATGTAAGAATCCCTCGCTGACGAACGCCCGCAAAATTAAATGAGTATCAACTCCTATCGGCACAATTCAGGGGCAGCGCGTAAAATCTCGAGTCCGTACTCGATATAGTTGCTCAAGGATCGAGTGAATCCGGATGTCATACCCTTAAATGGTGTTGTTCTAGAAAAATACTTGTTCGCTGCTAGGACAGTTTTATTTTTGGGGCCTGATGGCGCTACCTAGGTAACCTTAGTTTGTTCAAGCCACAGAGGCTATTGGACACCAACGCCACAACCCCTAACCACCCGTGGACATTGTCATTTGAAACAATCTTTCCGGAATCTCCCTGTTAAATCAAAATAGCCGCAAAATACAGTTATCAGATACAATTCTAATGGCCATATAATACTGTTTCGAGAACCATATTCGTATGAAATTTTGTCTAGTATATTCAATGTGAAGACCTCGTGACATATAGTTTAGTATGTGAATATCAATGACCAGGCACAATCCTCCTCCGATTGAGTCTCATTTACGTTTTCTAGCTCTATTGTTAGCCCTTCCTATACTCTGGAGCATCATGACAGCTCGATTTAATACATCATTGTTTTCAAAATTGACGACGTTGATTGAGTTATCGAATAGAATGAAAAGGAGAAAGGGGGGAACAAGCGAATGGAAAAAGAAAAGACCCCTTTCAAAGTCTAAATGTATCTCGAATCACCTACTTTGATGAAATTGACGAAACTAACGTAACTGAAATCATATTTAATGAAACCATATATAACGTGTTTTATCAGTAAGTGGGTTATATCAATAAGTGGATCACTTTCACCTCAATTTATTCTTTTCTCTTTTAATATATATTTTATTAACAATTTATAATAAATCTGAATAATCAAGAAGCCCATATATTCCTTGTTATTAAAGTTATTCAAAAAAACAAAAAAATAAGTATTTGAAAAGCTGTGAAGATATATAATATCCCGAATACAATATTATAGTATAGAATCAATAATTCTATTCCTTATTCCAAATATTAATCTAAATCTAATAATCTTTTAGAATTAGAAAAGAATATTATTTCTGAATATATAATTAATATAGATATAAAAGGATTTTTATCTAAATTAAGAAATATAGAAAATATAATAAATTATATTTTCAAATTGAGGAGTGCAAATTATATTGAGAAGCTTTGAGTGTATTGATTTATAAAGTATTGAATCGAATTAAAGATATGTTTTAGTTATGTTTATAATTTTCAAAGAACTTTTTATAAAGATTTTAAATTTATTGAAGAATAGTTTTGATTGATTATAAATATATGAGCGAAATATAGTATTTTGAATAACGATTTTTATAATTTCGATAAAATAGGTTTTATAATAGATATAATATATTTCAGAATAATAGTAATTAATATTAAATGAAATAACAGAAGCAAGGTAATATAACTAGACAATAGAGAATGGACTATAATAATTATATATAGCAATAGAAAAAGTAAAATTATACCCCCATTTCTAATAATTCAAGAATAAGTTTATTTTTCTAATTAATATATCAAAACTGATTTTCCTATGGATTGGGTTATTAAATCTATATCTAATAAATGAATAAATAATAAAACAAATTTAGAATAATTGAAATACTTTAATAAATATATTAAAAATTAAAGAAAAAATAAATATTGAATATTAATACTAAATAAGTATAAAAGCTATAAATCAAAAGCTTTTCAAATATATTATAAAAAGAATAATATTATATATTTAAGTTTATTATTGTATTTAAGTTATTTAATTCAATTATTTGATATAAACTATTTTAATAATCTGAAATATTTATATAATAATCAAATTAATGAATTTATTAAAGTATATATCAATTATATTTTGAAGATTGAATTCTTTATAGTTTTTAAAACTATATATAAAGAATCAATTACTTTTTAAAATATAAAATCAGAATTTCAAAAAATAAATTTAATTCTATTTAATCCTGAAACTATATTCTCGAAATTAGATATTCGAATTTATATATTTATTTTTCTCTTTTTTAATCTAAATCAATAAATCTTTTAAACTCCTTATAATTCAATTAAAGCTTTTTTTCAATCAATATTAATTAAATTTCAAATAATTTATTATTAATTAAATTCTTTTATATTTATATTTAAGATTATATTAATTCTAATTAAAAATATAAAGAAATTAACTTATAAGAATATACTTTTAAATATAGAGATTTATATATTTTAAATAATAAATGAAATATTAAATAAATATTAATATATAAAAAAAATCTAATTATATTAAAAAAAAGTATTTATTAAATAAAAGGCTTTTAATATATTATTTCAATAAAAGATTATATCACGGAGGGATAGCTATGTCGATTGGTCACTCTGATCATATAATAGGTATGTATAGTGATAATAAACTAGATTGACTTGAGGTATGATCATAAGGATCA